AACGTACTTCGGCTAATGTAGTTCGCCGTGTGTATCCGAAATAAAAAAAAATAGTCACTATAAATTTGTTCGACTTTACATTCATTTAAGGCCAGAGACGCATTTGAACAACAAAATTTCGCTCATACATAACTTAATCATGTAAATTCACTTTCTCCTTTGTTACAAAAGATTATCCGACGTAGATATTTGACGTTGCTTTTCTTTACTCCACAGTAATTTTCATGGTTTCGTGGATTAACTTAATCTGTATAATTCAATTATAGACGAGATATATAACACACACCCTTCCGTTTGTGTATACTATCCGACCCTCCGTTGAATTATTTTAAGCCGATTACAAGATTTAGACAAAAAACAAGATATGGTAATGGCCGAATGTTGGGAGAATTACATTTTCTAAATGCGCCTGAGAAGATGTCTGCATTTTCTATGTATCTTCCAAATTAGTTTTTCCGAGACACTTTTGAGGGTAGGCACAAGGAAAGTTATTAAGGGAGCGGATGGGAAAGTTAAAAAAGTTAGAATTTTAGATACGTGTACGTTTTGACAATGGAGCGGGTGGGTTCTAATATTGTTTTCTGTTTCAATCAGAACTTAGAAGTGTAATTAGGTTTACTGTTGGTTTACAAATTAAATTGTCCAAGTAATCCTCTGTATAAAAACCGAAAATTAAAAGTTCACATTGCCCCATATGGAATTGTGGATCGTGTGAACTTATTAAGATAATAAAATCCGTGCGGGGTTGTAAAGTGAACGCACTAGATTTAATGTAGTCTAGACACTTTATTACATAAGTAAACGGTCGCTTTCAGTTTAATATTGCTTGCAAATTAGCATAAAATATAATTGTATCCTTTATCTAGCGGGATGTTAATTTGTCAGTGGAGAATTGAGGGTAGGAAATTCAACGAAAAGTCAAAATGTTCGCATGATAAGGTCAAAGCACCCCGTCGCATTTGAAGATACGGAAAATGTAGGGCAAAGCACTTCAAACGTTTAATTTTGCTTTTTGATGTATATACAAATATATCATTTCGCTCAAGCTATTTTAGTATCGTTTGAAACTACCCCAAATGTAAATACTATTAAAATTTTGTTTACTTATCTTTTTCCTCTTCCGGTGCCTATATTTATTATTATTATTTATTTATTATTATCCCTCTCTTGTTTTGGGCCCTCAACAGGCATGCGCCCAATTACAGAGTGACCCGCATAATGCTATTTAGAGGTGCCTCTGCAGAAGGTCTTAAGTTGGTCTATACTACTCCGGCATTTACCTTACGAATGAGGAAAACCTAATTCGGAGTAGCCGGTAGAATGCTCGGAACTGGTCTAAGGTAATTTCCATCTCCGCCACAGATGAAAAATTCACCTCAACCCAGGTTCGAACACCCGACCTCCAGATTTATAACCCAATGCTCTACCACTGAGCCATAAATCCGATTCATTTGTTGGAGTGATCGTTCACGTGGTAATTAGAAAAAGACTATTTATATGAATTTCGTTTGGCTTTTTAATCTAATTCGGTTTTAAACACAATAAGAATGGCACCATAATAAAATATAACGGCAAAAAATACACACCACCCCTTAATTTAGTATGTCTTATTTCATCCATTGACTCACTTACGCATTGCTCTTCACCTTCACTTTACTTATATGCATTAATTCCTATCTTATATTTCTTTGTTATAATGATCAACCGTGCAATAAATAAATAAATAAAAAGGTTATTGGTTTTTTCTTAACACCCGCATTTCCATAGGCCAGCGGTTATTACTTGTCCGGAAAAGAACTTGTGTAGACACAAGCCATTGAAACACCTTTTCGCGGTTATATTGATTAAATTTGCATCGATTTCGATCAGTAAAAAAGTCATCAATTAGTTTTCTTAACAGGCGCATTTCCATGGAAAATCTAATACGGACACAAGCTATTGGAAACACCGTATGATACATTTCTATATTTTCTTTCAAATTTTGCGTAATTTGGGAAAAATATATTTGATACATTTTTGAAATATTCGAAATTTCTTACATATTTCGACACTTAAGACCCATTTCTGAAACATTTCCCTCGTATTTTCATCACCAAGTAGTAAGTACTGAAATATTTCTTAATTTGTCTAAATATTTCACTTTTAAAATTTTCGACGCGCTTCTGAAATATTTCCAAAGTTCTTTAGAAATTCTTACAACATTTTCCTAATATTTCCAACATTTTTATAATCTCGCACAAATTTAAATAGCTTATGAAACGTTTCCAATATTTCCCAAGCACATTGAAACATATTCTGAAGCATTTGCAAAATTCTTTAAATCTAAAAGAATTTCTGAAACATTTATAACAATATATGTGACAAAATATTTCCAAAATTTCAAAAAAGATGTGGCAAAATTTTTGAATTTCTTCATGCTTCATTTGAAATATTTTTTTATTTCCAAATCATCTCAAAATTAATGACACATGCCCAACATTTTTTAAAGTTAAACGTAATAAATTTGGTTAAAGTTCTTCTTAAAAAAATTCCAAAATGCCTACAGGTTTTGACACTTTTAAAACGTGATAAAAATTTCTTTCCTACTTACTACCATTTCTGAAAAATTTCTGAGGCATTTTCTCCAATTTTTAAAATTCTTCAACTTCTTAAATGTATGTAAATATTCAAGTATTCAACATTTTTTGAAAATTTTGATATATTTCCAAAATTTCCTACACATTTTGTAAACATGTATGAAACATCGACATTTGTTGTATATGCGGAGCCAAATCCTCTACATCAATTTACCACTCAAACATTTGAGCCCGAGCTTAGGGTTCGTTTGATGATAAATTTTCAAAATTTCAAACTTATCGCGGGTCGGATGCCGCAATGCAATTTGTTAATATGATACAAAACGAAGTTAACAGTAGAAGATCAAAATTACGATAGTTCACTCATCTAATGGATTTATGAGAAGCCTTTTTGCGCAGGGGACTGATAAGTTTTGGATCATGACCATATTAGTGGGCTCTTTGGGGGAAAAAGTCATAGTACTTGTAATTTGCAGCTCCAAAGTCGAAATTTTATACCCATATTTTTTCACAACTTGACGGGTACGATGCCCACATGTTTGTTAAATCTTATCATCATAAACAGAATTATCTCGTAGCTAAGATGCTGACACTATAATAAGGTCGGAACGGCCTCCTTACAATGATATGGAGAAAATAATCTGAAAGCGCTGCAGATTGGAACTTTCCGACGGTAAAAAGTTCTTTCGCGAAATCTCAAGTTTTAGAGTGTAGTTCTTTAACATTCTTCTAACGAACGAAGCCCTTAAAATTTCTTTGTAAAACTAAACCCTCTATCCCTTCTACAATAATGAATGCCTACAAAATGGCTTATTATTAACATGCACTGCTCTACCTTTAGCAATATCAAAATCTCAATGACTGGATTCCCATATAAATACAATAGAGAATTCGAATTTGCCGGGAACATGTGATATAAAAATAATGAAAAATATTGTAAACAACGGCAACATGAAAAATATGCTTACCTAGATTAAGGTAGGCAAAGGCTCAATTCACGTAAATGCGTTTAGATAAATAATTTCGGCAACTTGTCTCAGGAATTTCATAAAATGTCAACATCTTTCGCAAAGTCAGTACCTTTCATTCCCACGACAAAAGCCAAAGTGACATTTCCTCAATCCCAATGGCACCAAGTCACATTCTCTATTCACACACTGAATGCGCACTCAGTCAGCCACTCCTATGGGTACATTTATCGAGAAACGGAACGTTACAAAACGTATCGACGGTCTATGCCTACCTCACAATGGCGCACCACTAGATGAAGGTACAAAGAAATTCTAATTTTCACGAAATTTGGCTTCTGGGGATGCAAATACGTAATAGTTCTACACACTAATCCACACTTAATCTCGGGAACTGAAGCAAAATCCAAACAAATGACCGTTTAACCGACTCTCAGAAGGGGGAAGGATTAAAGGAGGAAACGTAGGATATTGGTCAATGGTCAATTGGTCATCACTAAAACGTTGAGATAGTTGGAAAAATAGTTATTCTGCTAGATATCTATTAACGAAATCATTAGATAGGATAAGATTCATAGTTCATTGTTAATAAATCCCTACATGTATACATGAGCTACCTCTTCTATACCAACTTTATGTTGTAATACTTGAGATTTCGTATTTATGATTTTTATGCTTAAAAATGGAGGAAGTAGAACTTGCGGTTATTTGTATCGTATATCACGCGTTTCAATGCGAACAATAACTGCGTAAAGTGACACCATGTCGTTAACATATTCCAAATTAAAAGTTTTCTGTAGCGGTGTACATTTCACGACTCTCAAGTTTGTTATTACGCTCAACCTTAATACGATCAAAGCCATGATTTATATTAAAGATAATCAACTTGAGAGGTCTCATGAATGTAAATAAATTCTCATCATATTTTTATGTTTTGAGAAGATGAAAAATCGAACGTGTCCTACGGTGAATTCAGATTAGAAATTATTAAAATATGATTGAAGGCGTCTGCGGGTTTAAATAAGATTCTTTTAATCTTTTCACGATCCGGATTGGGTAAATTAGCTGTAATCGTGGAATCATAATCCTAGTAGAATTTCGAACTATTTTCGAGTCAATTTCAATGCGTTCCATAATTAACTGGGGGCTAATTGTTGGCCAGAACTCAATTTATTATTTAGGTGCGACACAGTAACTGTTTATCTGCGATCATCCCCAATTAATGATTTAACTACCGGGCGGGCTACCGCCCCGAGTTAGCGCTGAAAGGTGTAGCTTACGTTCCTCATGGTAATTCTTCATTGATGAGGAATTTCTCACACACACTGGTGGTCGATACTCTGTAATCTCTTATGGTTTGTAATTATCAGTATATTGGCCCATTAGTAAATTGTAATAATTCATTTTTTAGGCATTTACTATACAGTGAGTTTAATTGCGTATTTAATTGTTTCAGAAAACGGTTTGTTAAGCTACGAAAATCCCAATTACCACCTGGATCCCTCCCGGCTCGACGATGCGCTTAATTCAAACACCGACGAATTGTACGAGGAGTTGTATCAGGAACTGGATGACATTTGCAATATGGGAACTGGGATGAAAGCGCCCCTATCGAGTGGTCCCGGACGCAAAGGTTATGCATCTCTTGATATTGGTTCAATGGGAGTTGATATAACGACCGGACCTGTCACCAATATAGATTCTTCAAATTATACGGATAACCGAAGGTAAAGCTCTCGATTTAGACGCTAATTTGATACAATTATTCTTAAGAGTCGGCGGGCGTGTGCTTCAGATATTGTATTCTTTTGAGCATATTTTTAAGATGGCGCGGTATAAACGATACTTATCCCATATTAAAACGAAATTCGTGCATAAAATATGGCTACTATTACATTATCGCAGCGATCAATCTTACATTATTGCTTTCACAGTAAAAGATTTTTAATTTTTATGCTTCGGGCCGAAGCACACGGCCGTAGAGTTTGAAAACGTAAAATGTTGATTATCGCGTTACGGCACGAAAATCTGTAGAAAAGGTGGAAAACATCCAACCAAGCTGTTCGAGCTTTTTTAAATAATCGCTTTTACAAATATTCAGTTGCATTTGGTTCGTTAAAGACTTTCTAATTCTTAGACATACAGGGTGTTACATATACGAATGTAAGGGAGGGGTAAATAGTATTTTACATTATTAGCCAGGTATGAGGTAAGTGAGTTTTTACTGGCGATAGGAGAAGTTGACTGGCGAGCCGTTAGGCGAGCCTGTCATCTCCTAGAGCCAGTAAAAACTATTACCTGGCGTATAATGTACAATATTTTATTTGTTACTCATTTGTAAACGTAAATAATTAGTTCTTAAATTGATCTTGAAGAAATGTCTAAAATATCATGTTATCCATGTAACAGAGACTTCGCATTAATTCTGGCCAATGAAATTACTAGATTACTAACTTGTAAAATTTTTACAGGTCTGCTGTCAGTTTTACAAGTCTGCTGTCAGTTTTACAAGTCAGTAGCGTTTAAACATGACGTTTACCCGTTTGTGTTTTGTCTTGTTAATCAACGTTTACAACTGAGTAACAAATAAAAATGTTTACTTCTGTGGAAACTATATCCAAAGATCTCGGCACAGCCCATAGTCCATCTTTCTATAACGCTTTAAAACCATACCTCTCTATTTTTTTTACATAATATGTAGTTATAAACCGATTTTGGATCATGTATAATTGTACCTTTTACGAACGGAGGAGTACCTTAAGTCTGGAGTGTTTTGAACGTTTTCGGTTTTCACAAACGCTGCACAAAAGTAATACTAGTCTTCAAATGTTAAAAATAGCAACGTCATACTCAGAGTGCAACGAACTTTGTCATTTGTGTAGTTCGCACACAGTGGGCGAACTTTTAAAATAAACGATGCAAATTCATAGTGCGTTTTCTATTTATCTAAACGTCCATTTCGGATAAGAACAACTGGAATTCCCATCTCGTACGCCCCTTCGATACGTTAGAAATGACAACTGTTTTTAATTAATTACCATCGGAAAAATAAGGGCCTTTGTCAGACTTCAAATTTTTTAAGAGCGCACCTAACGGGTGTAATCTCGACTTAATCGGCGGTTGTGATCTGTAACCCATTCAAGTTATTACAGTTAATTATACTTATCTAAATAGCCGGAATGAAATCTTCAAATTGGGTAGTCCAGCAATACCCTTTTGTTCCTTGGAATGTTAGGTTAAGCAGCGCAATCAGTTATTACGTTTCTGCACGACCTTGCCGGCTTCAATTCTGGATTTTCGTATACCATTAGAAAACTTCGAAAAGCAAGGAGTGCAACTCATTTCGGTCCGCAATCCTAAAACAAACAAAACTCCGGGAGGGGTAAAACAGGACGGAAGTCTAACTACGACATAGGGTTGTTAAATTTACACCTGCTACCTCATCGATCCGGTTTTAAATCCTTCACGTGAACTCTTGGAATTTTTGTTCGTTCAGCCGGATGCTTGAACGCGAATACTACGGGGGATTCCACTTTGTGGATCACATACAGGCGGGAATACTTCGCAGCGGCTTTGGACCGTGGACTTCTGCTGGGTGAAAAGCTGCGCCAATCCCTGTGTTGGAGGCATCGGTTTGTAAGACGAACGGTCGGTCAAATTCAGGACAAGCCAGAATCGGTGCGTTGGTTAAACGGTTCTAGAAAGTTTGGAAAGCTTGATTTTGATCTTCGTCCCAACTCCATTTTGGTGTTTTGGTAGAAGTTTGGTCCATAGAGCTACAATGTTTGAAAAGTTCGAGACAAAACGGTGATACCGAGATGGTAGCATACCCCAAGAAATCTTCTAACGGCTTTGGTATTATGCGGGGGCAGTAACTGTTCTATGGCGGCTACTTTTTATTTTATTTCATCAGAGACGTAAAGTAAAAAAAATACTTTCTCATGTCACTATTTAAGCTTTACAAGACGGCGGTGAGAAATTTTTAATATCAATTTTCTTTTCTGAGAAATCATCAACTTTATTTTTTTATATGGCCCGGAAAAAAATAAATACTGTGTTGAGTGACACTTTTTATTACGAGTACAACGATGTACAGCATACAAAAAAAAGTTGGCAACTCTGTGGGTTTCATCAAAACGGTGCCTCTGCCCACAACTCCGTAATCGTGCGAGAATACCTCTCGGAGAAAAGAAAGTGAGAAAGTGTTTCTATTTTGCTGTATCTGTTCAAATAACATCAGAAAAATACTCCATAGTCCATAGTTTCAAAGAATTATATTACAAATTTGTATTTAAACACCTGGCATAACCCTGGGTATCAACAGAAAAATTTAGCATAAGAAATCTTATCTAGGTCCTCATTTGGGCTCGATTAAACACAACATATAGCATTTACAGATGAAATAAATGAAGCACAAACACCAAACGATGATACTTTAAAACTTCAAAATTTCGATTTTGGCGACACGGGGTTCGTTGTAATATTGGCTCTTTGATGGTGGAAAAACTCCCTTTAACGAGTGAAAAGCTTCACGTATGCAGTAAACACAATACCCCGACTAATTGAACTTCACTTCTTTAATTGTACTTAAAACATTCACTTTTAGGCTCAATAAAAATTTGTTAAGGGCATAATGCTATAAAAAATACAATGTATTCTCAGAGTACCTCCCTAATTCTGTTTTATGTTAATCGGAAGGTGTCAGTCATTTATTATTTATGCAAACAATGTCCATCCGTAATTAGGATAGGGACCAGAGTGGGTTATTCGCCGTGCATTGCAATTTCGCAATCCTTTGGTGTAGAGCTATAGGTAATGTCGATCTAAGAAACTACAAACAAGAGAAAACCCAAATAGCATATTTTTCTTCGAAGGCTGATAGTTTCATTATTATGAAAAATGTGAAAAAAATGAACTAAGAAGTTTTGTATATTTTGACCTAGAAATCAGTGGTGTGGAAATCATTTTTAATTCCACTAGTTTTTGAGAAATTAATTTTCTTTTCATGAGCTTTGCTACGACTGTTTTCCATACAAAACAAATATAACTTTTGCTATTTTACTGTTAATTACCAAACCTTCGTTTACGGATAATTCACTATCATAATTACGCCACTCGTTTAATTGTGCGTGGATAATTTTATTATTCTACACTGCTCTCCATTTTGTTGCCTCTCTGATCACTATTCAGTATATCGTACTAACGGTACTCTAATTTTAATGAATACTCTTACTTTTCGAACCCGCTGACCTTAAGTGCCTTTCTTTTCTGGGTTCTTAAGGAGGTGAAATCATCTTAGTGACACTGTACTTATTGTTCTGTTATGCCTTATTAATTTTAATTATGCTCAAATACAACCCTCGTCAACCATTTTCACGCATACAATTCTTAATTGACAAACAGTATTGGACTAATTTGACATCATGGCGAAAATTTACACCCTGCGTTATATTAAATTGAACGAAGGGGATCAAATATTTTAGGCGGGCAATAAACAAAGCACCTTGCCTTTGGCATTGCAAATCTTTAATCATTTAAAATTCAGTTAAAGAAACTCGATGCTTAACTAACTTCAAATAACCGAGTACTTCAAACCTTCATTGGGGCTGCAGGTGTGTAATTATCGTGCCATTATTGACGTGCACCGTCAAAAGTTCTCACATCGAGAAAGTTTTGCGAAAGCGCATTTCGCATTGATATTCGCACATTAACGAATGTTGCTCTAATTGGAAGCATTCTGTGCCACATTTAGCATGTTTAAGGGATGCTATTAGGGAGGTATCGCGTGAAATATTGCCTTACTTTACTTCTTGGCGAATTTGAATCGCTCGCCGTCTCTCTAATGCCGCAATTAATTTTGATACATATAAAATGGACATTAATTCCTTCGGTACCTGCATTTCGGAGCAATTCGAAAAAGTGCGGCCGCCTTTCATTCAATTTGATCGTTGAATGTAGGTTGTTTGACATTCTCATCTATCCGAAGTTTCCATATCCGAGCATTTTCAATTCATATGGTAGGCCATATTGATCCAATCTCCCCTATTCGATTTATTTACTATGCATAATGTTGGCGGGCATTTCCAAGTAAACGCTGGAAGACGAATACATTAATTTGAAAGTTATATACACAGTGCATAAATAATTTCGCTTAGCGTATTTCGTAATTGAACGAGTAAAAGATGTCAAAGGTATGTATGATTAACTACATCTCACACATGTAATTAGGATGTTACTGACAAGTTAATTTAATGAAAATTCCATCTGTGTGATGTTCCCTAACATTATTACGTAGGGGCGTCTTAGTTAAGCGACTGATAAGAGAAGCGCGAGGATTTTAATTAAACGAAAATAGTTGTTTCTAAACATAATCACTTATCATTTGCTTAGATCGTTATACTGCGAGTACCTACAATGTTTATTGCATTGCCACTCGAAAAATAATGGAGCAAACACGTATGTCTTAATCACTAGAAGAATCTCATCAATTTTTTAGCGCATTTTTCAACGGAAGTGCCAAATTCTATTGATCGAAATTTGGTATTTGGGGTGTTTAACATGAAGATTTGGGAAAAGATTCCAACTGCAGTTTTCAACCACAAAAATGGTAGTTTTCTTATGGCCAAATGATTCAAATTTTAAAATTTTTTTCAAAAAATCTTACCTAAACGGCAGTGCGAAAAAAACTACGATTTCTGTGGAACCGCTTGGCCACTGTCATTCAACTGCTCGGATTGGTTTGAGAGTTTGCGGTACCCGCCTTGCAAACTTATTTTTAGTGCACTTTTTAGTTTTTTGGGTATTTTGTAACTACTTTTCACGAAATTGTACTAGACACCTGATATTTTTCATGGCGCCTCAAACTCTATCGGGATTTCTGTCCTATAGCGCGAGTACTTGCATGACGACCCCCTCGTGCGTCTTTCCGTTCTTGAAGAAAAAGCAATCCACTGTCTTAGAGGTCGGTTGCGGAGATCCTCTTGGATTAAAGCAACAGACCAATATTTCCGTCATAATAAAGAAATCGTCCCTGCTCCTGTAGGAAACACACTAACGTCGCTGGGGTGTTACACAAACCAAGCGCATTGTCGTAAATTGCCCTAAACCTGATCCTATGCTAAACGCTGTCTTCTCGCGATGTTCAGGATCAAGACCAACTGGCCAGTAGCCGCTTTTCATATCTATGGTGGAAAACCGGTAAGTGTATCTAACGTGTCATCTTTCCGGGCAAAGCTGTCTTTCTTTGTATGGTTGTTCAGTTGCCTATAATCTACGCAAAACCTTGCGCTGCCGTCTTTCTTCTTCACTAGTACCACCGATGAGGTCCAACTCCAAGGGCTGCTGGATGGTTAAATTGTTCCATCTCTAGACATGTCGCCGATGATCTCCTCGGCTTCGTCGCGTTTGGCCCGTGGTAGTTTTCTGGGATTGGCATCTCCCATATTTATTTTATGAGCAAACACATCTTGGTACTGGCAAATTAACCCTTTAGCCTTGTCCTTTTGGCTTGACAAATTTTTGCATGCGGCAGTGATTCAGGGTTGAAGGTTTTCTGAGTACTCCAACGTGTCGTAATTCTTGGCCGTATTTTCACAGCATACTCCTTCAGCTACTGGGGCACATCTCCCAATCTTGGTGCCCTTTTTATCACCTACTCGAACGTTAGTATGGGAGGTATTGCATTAGGGTAAAAAATAACCCCCCCCCCAACTTTTTTGACAGAAATACACGTTTTGAAGCACCAGGAAACCAAATCAATCAAAATCTCCATGATATCGGTCTGTCGGTCCGTCTGTATTCTCATTTCCAGCTGAACCAATTGGGACCAAAATGTGGTACACATATTCTTAGACATAAAAGGAATAGCTGAAAAGCTTTTGGGCAGAATCGCCTATACACAAGTGTATCAAACTCTCAATTCCGGCTAAACGGCCGAGCCGATTGAAACCAAATTTGGTACACATATTCATAGACAAATTTGCTGTGGCTAGCCCAGATACCACCTGCGCATGCACCATTCTGCCCTTTTATACCTATGAATAGAACCAAATTTGGTTCCAATCGGTTCAGCCGTTTAGCCGGAAATGAGAGTTTGACGCATTTGCGTATGCGCGATTCTACCCAAAAGTACAGACAGACCGACAGACCAACATCATCGAGATTTTGATTGATTCGGATTCCTGGTGCTTTGGAGGTGGAACAGCAAGGAGATCTTGTGTTATCACAGACGACACCTCACATTGTTTTGCATTCTTCAGTCATTAACATAAATCGTTTTCAGCTTTCATTTCACTTTCCATATGAATGTTATTTTGGACACTCTGTATCTAATTTTGGATACCATGTATTTCATTTAGAACACAATGTATCTCATTTTGGACACTCTGTATCTCATCTTCAATCATTGCCCAGCTTCGATTTTGGCTTCCATTTCAGCTTGACCGGCTTTTTGCATGAACTGAAACAACTATTCCATTTTTTCTGACGCAGTTCCGGTCACTACTGGCATAAACTCACTACTTGTGCACTAAACACAACCTCACACCTGTTGGTCTAGAATGTTCTTAGAACGGGTAGGAATGTTCTAGAATAAACACGTCATTTTTCCCGGAAGGATCGCGTTACATTCACCTTCGCTCTTTATCGCGGATGACTAATCTTTTATTGCGCCTCGATTT